GCAAGCTGTCATTCAACTGTATCTACATTCATGCTATTGCTCTGAAGAGGCTGTTGGGCACATAGCATACTAAACAGCAAAATAAGCACCTCCAATTTACTCTAGGACAGGTTCTCCTGCTTGAGCAGGGGCTGGACTAGAAGACCTCCAAAGTCCCTTACAGTTCTACTCTACTCTACTCTACTCTACTCTACTCTACTCTACTCTACTCTACTCTACTCTACTCTACTCTACTCTACTCTTCATTAAACTAGACATACCCAATTCCAGCAACCACTCTTTGTATGTTTTAGCCTCCAGTTCTTTAATCAGCTTTGTTAACTATACTAATTGCACAATATAAGAAGGATGCTGAGAAGCTGGAAAGGTTGCAGAGAAAAGCTGCAAGGATGTGGAGCGGTTTGGAGACCTTATGAAGAACCATGGAAAGAGTTGCAGTCTGTTTAACCTAAAGAAGAGAAGGCAAAAGGGAGATACGAGCTCAGTCTCCCAGTCTTTGAGGGTAAATCACAGGATGGGAGAGGTTGATTTATTCTTTATACAAGCACTTCTGAATTTATGACCATTTATTTAACAACTGTTTGAAGTTATGACAGCGCTGGAAAAATATTACTTATGACTGGTCCTTGCATCTGTAACTGACATAGCATCTCGACAGCCATGCACTCAAAATTCAGGTGCTTGGCAGCTGACATGATGGTTGCAGCATCCCAGCATTATCTCATCCCCATTTGTGACCATCCTTGGGGGCTCCTGATAAAGTCAATGGGGGGGATTCATTTAATGACCACAGCAAAAAAGGTCGTAAAATTGTGTGCAACTCACTCAGTGACCACATTGCTTAGTGATGGAAGTTCCAGTCCCAAATGCTGATTTCCAGCAAAAAAAAAAATGCTGATATTTTTAACGACCACTGCATCCACTTAAAAACTGCTACAAAAAAAGTAAAAAAATTGGATCTGGTCACATGATGCCTCCACCTACCATCATCATATGACCATAATTCTGGGCTCAATTACGGTCATAATTTGTACATTTAAAAATGGCATATGTAAAAAAGTCAACAAGTTTGGATTCAAATACACATACAATTCAGATGAATGTAAAGATGAATGTAAAACTGAAACCAGAAATGTTCCTTTTAGGTCTGATGGATAAACAATCGGAAAAAATGCACACAACTTTGTTTTTATATGTGATAACAGCAGCAAGACTTTTACATGTCACCAGAGCCCTGGTGGCGCAGTGATTAAATGAGGTATATATGTTGTATATAGAATGTTTAGGTGTGTGTCATGTATGTTTCACTTTGAGAGCGGGCAACTAAATTTCATTTTTGATGTGTGACGTTGTGCCCACAGTAAAAAAAATGACAATAAAGTTTATCTTACCTTATCTTACTTATCTTACTGTAGGTAAACTCTGCCCACAGCTTAGAGTTCGATCCTGACGGGGCACAAATTTGACTCATCTTTCCATCTCTCTGAGGTTGATAAAATGAAGACCCAGTTTGTTGGGGGTTAATATGCAAATAATGCCCACATAGTAAAAGGCTCAGAGTGATGTAAAGCACTATGGGTGGTATATAAGCCTAAATGCTGTTGCTAAATGCTATATGCATAATGATGGAAAGCTTCAACATTACTTACAGTGGAGGAATGGATGTTGAAATTGATGGCTGAGATGATGAAATTGATAGCTTTGATTAGAGAACAAATATTGATACCTTTTAATATTAATTGGAAAACCCTTTTGGACTTTATGTGTGAAACATAAAAGAAATAAAATTATGATACATGGATTTGACGATTAGAAAAAAATAGTAGATAATAGAAAAAAAATGAAAGTCATGTTATAACTTTAGAATAAGAGGTTAGTTTTTCTCTTAACGATTCATTTTTATTAGTTTTTAATCTTTCTGGTTTGAAAACCGTCGTGCTGGCCACACGACCGTGAAAACGTCTTCGGACAGCGCCGGTTCAGTGGCCTTGAAACGGAGATGAGCAGCGCCCCCTAGAGTTGGCAACGACTAGCGGAGTAAAATCTGCACAGACTCCTTTACCTCACCTTTTTAAAAAAATAAAATAAAACAAAGCAAATAAAAAGATACAGAGGATGGTATCCACCAGAAGATGTCACTCTTTCCAAAGTGAACAGAGGAAAGCGTAATAATTCTGCAAAACCAGGAACATTTTGCTGCAATAGCTCCAAATACATAAACAGCTGGCGCTCTAGAGAGAAGTTCCCTGAGGATGGGTTTCAGCACGAGTCCAAAAGCTCGGAGGATTAAACCTCTAGTCCCGGTGTTCAACCCACATTGGATCCTGCAACGCTATCCTGAGACATACCCAATCCCTGCAACCATTCTTCGTTTGTTTTAGCTCAGGGGTCTTCAAACTTGGCCCTTTTATGACTTGTGGACTTCAACTCCCAGAATTCCTCAGCCAGCGTGCCTGGCTGAGGAATTCTGGGAGTTGAAGTCCACAAATCATAAAAGGGCCAAGTTTGAAGACCTCTGTATTTAGCCCCTGGTCCCCTAATTCAGTAAATATATTCAGTAATATATTTATATGTATGGCTAAGCATTCTTTTCTTTTCTGTGCATGACACAACAGTCTTTTACAAGTGGCTTTAATGTAGCATTTTATTTCATTATATATGTATATATTTTATTTGTTAAATAAAGGTTATTTATTAAATAGAAGTTGTGGATGCTTCATTACTGGAGGTTTTAAAGAAGAGATTGGACAGCTACCGTGCTAGTCTCAAATTGTATATGCTTGAGCAGGAGGTTGGACTAGAAGACCTCCAAGGTCCTTTCCAGCTCTATTCTGATTAATTGAAATTTATTTGCCACCTATCTTGCTAGGTGGCTTACAGCAATAAAAAAGAAGGCAAGAAAAGGAGCATAAACAGAAGTAAAATAATAGAACAACAAGATAAACAATATAAAGTGACACAATGAGAATACACCAATATGATAACCCAAAAGATGGATGGGTGGACAGCAGGGAGCAAGGGGGAGGGGGTGGACTCTGCCATCAATCCAGCAGTCATCTCCCACTTTTGGGCCCCAGGCCAACCAGCAGAGCCAGGTCTTCAGGCTCTTGGGGAAAGATAGTAAAGTGGTGGCAGATCTTATTTTACACAATAAGATGTTCCAAAGGGCAGATTTTCAATCTTTTGTGAAATATTCTGAAATTCAGAGCACAACATTAAAAAAAGGACCCCCCCTTTATTACAATGATCCCTTCGGGGGGCCAAACAATGGGAAAGTTATATATATATATATATATATATATATATATATATATATATATATATATATATATATATTTAATAAGCATTGAGGGCTACAAGATGGGCAATTTTCAGGATCTGATTTACTGGCCAGTTTGGGGGAAGTTTGACAGGTCCTTGTCGGTATCCCTGGAATGATTGTTTTTGTTAGGCAAACAGCCAGGGAAGACCCTTGTTAAAAGAGATGTTGAGATGTTGGGGGGAAGGGTATCCCTGATTAAGGATAGACTGTTGGGGATTCTCAGCTTGTTAAATATGTTGTGGTTTTCTTCCTAGACTGCCCTAGGGTTTTACTTGAGATGGTCTGTCCGTGTGTGTCTCTGTGATTCCTAGGGTCTGCCTGGAGAAGCCCCTGCAGTTTTCTTCGCAGCTTGGCAACATTTCAAAAGTGATTTGCCATTGCCTGCTTCTTAGGGCTGAGAGGCTGTGATGGGCTTAAGGTCATCCAGCTGGCTCAACTAGAATTCAGTGTCCTGGTTTCTAGCCCAGTGCTTTAACCACTAGAGGGTCAATTTGGGTTTGATAGGATTAGCAAAGTCAGGGGATGGGTTTGAGTCTGGTCACTTCCAAAAGATAGGGAGGAAAAATTATTTTTCCCACCACAGATCCGTTATCAGCTGCCTAGAGTGGTCAATAAGCAAGCAGTTTTACAATTTTAAATGATCAATAAAAATCAATAAATACTGGGCAGAATTCCTGGTTTGCAAAGATATAATTGATGGTCTTGAGTTGTGGGGGAGAGCTGTTTTACTATATGGTGGCAAAAAAATCAGGAGGGCTCTGATATATTTAATATATACGGCAAACTGTTCCAAGGGATACACAAATAAGGTGCTATCCAAATCCTCCTTTTTTGGGGGGGACCAATATGGTTCTCCTCTGGCTTTTCCAGCTAACAATTTTTATTAAAAAGCATAAACAGCTAACAAATATTTGTTCTGAACTGACAGATCTAGTGTGGCCCTGCTAGTGATTTCTAGGTTTATTCTCAAACAATAGCCCATGTAAACAGGCAAAGTTGAAACAACAGATAATGCAGTTTTGATTTGATCCTCGTTTGAACATTCCGTTCTAAGCCCTCAGGTGATTGGTTAACTTCACATATGTTGATGGAGATTCTCAGTCATCCAAGTCAGGGCTGTCCCAAAGGTGCTTTTTCAAGAGGCAACTGGACTTCAGCTAAAGAAACTTCTTGGATGAGGAGCGAAACGTCTTCAAAGAAAAACAAGACAGTCCAGTTGCCTCGTGAAAACAAGCACCTTTGGGATTCACATACGTTATACAGTAGACCATGATTTATAGTTGTTAGCAAAACCAGTCACTGGTTTACGCCACGAATCGTGATTAAACAATAGCAGCGCACAACACATTTGCAAACTCAAATTCCTCGGGGAGAAAAATGCAACATCTCTCTCTCTCCTCCCCCCCCCATTCCCCCTCCCATCTGGACGTCCCGCGAGTGCAGACTATCTTTCTGGCAAGCAGCTTTGCACCACACGCTCAAAAAAAAAAAGCGCCAGCTTCCCAGAACGTCCCCCTCCTAACGTTCCAAAACCAAGCCGGAACCTATCGTGGAGGGGGGGAAATGGCCGAACAGGAACAGCCTCCTCTTCCGCTCCCTGTCGGGGCGCTCTAGCCTTCCGACCTCGCGATCCGGCTGCCGAGCTAGCGCGTGCGCGCTGCTGCCGAGTCCTCTCCCGCCCGGTCTCTCCCCTCCCCCCCCTCCCCCCCCTCTCTTTCTCCTTCTTCTTAGCCGAAGCAGCGGCGGCGGCGGCGGGTCGCGGCTGAGGCGAGGCGAAGCGAGGCGGGCGCGGCCCGGGCCTCCTCCAGCTATGGACCTGGAGGCGTCCGACGAGACGGGCTCCATTGGAGGGGCCGAAGCGGGAGCCGGAGCCGTCACCCCCGAGGCGGGCGGCTGGGGGGCGCCGCAGGACTCGGCGGCAGGAGGAGGTGAGCGGAGTGAGTGAGGCGGCCCCATCATTCCCCCCCCGCCCGGGTCCTGGGGAGGGGGCCCCCGGGGTCTCCTCCTCGCGCGAGCAGGGGAGGGGGCTCGTCCTTAGTCGTCCGGGGAGCCGTCCCTACCCCGCCCGCGATGCGCTCGGCTGCCCGGCCCCACCTGGTCGCCCTTCCCGGTCCGGGCTGCTCCCCCCACCCCAGGGTGGAAGAGCATCCGAGGATGCCGCGGCCCTTCAGGAGCCCTTGGGCGGCTGGGCTGAACGTGGGGAAGGATGCCAATCGTTTCCTGCATTGTTTTGCCCAAGTCTGACCCTGATCGTGAGTGCGAAAACCGCGTCTGGGGGAGGCGGGGGAGGCGGCATCATGGTTTGTTGTTGCTCCTGTTTACTGAGGGAGACCATGACTAGGTCGATGTTGGGGAAAAGAGGGTCTGGATCTTGGGCTGTCGTCCGCAGAGGCGCTGATGGCACAATTTGGGCTGATTAATATCTGCTGAAGGATGATGGAGAGGAGGGAGGGAGACTGGTGTACTGATAATGATAAATAGTAGAATTTGAATTGGAAGTGAAGGTTTAAAGGTAGCCCTGTTTGCCTTGATATTAGAATGAATATATATATATATACACATACACATACATACAGGAATCTTGGGGAGGAGTAATCCTAAAGATTGCTTGATGATATGACATTTATTGATACAGGTTACCGGTTGGCTGTTAGTACAGGCGGTCCTTGACTGAAAACAGTTTGTTTTAGTGACCATTCAAAGTTACAACAGCACTGAAAAATGTGACTTATGACTGTTTTTCATACTTAGGACCATTTGTGGCATCCCTGGGGTCACATGATCAAAATTCAGACGCTTGGCGACTGACTCATATTTATGACGGTTGCAGTGTCCCTGGGTTGTGTGATCCCCTTTTGAGACCTTCTGATAAGCAAAGTCACTGGGAAAGCCACATTCACTTAACAGCCATGTTACTAACTTAACAACTGCAGTGATTCACTTAACAACTGTGGCAAGAAAGGTCATAAAATGGGGCAAAACTCACTTAACAAATGTTGAGCTCAATTGTGGTCCTAAGTTGAGGACTATCTGTAATATTATGACATGCATTGATACTGGTCAGCTGTTAGTAAATCAACCAACTACCCAACTGTATTACTAATACTGTTAACATTCACATCAGAACCAGTATTGGTTTAGAGGACATGGTGGGAGATCTATGCCGGGAGGCTGAAAAATAACCACCGAGTCCTCAGTATACAATTTAGTGCCTTGGTGTGGATAGCTGACATTGAAATATGTGGATTGGGACACAATAATGGATTTAGGAGTGAAACCAGGAAGAGTTAAAAGTACAGGTTTTCTGTTATTAGGGAAAGCATTTTTGGTATGTTGGCTGGGTTATGCACACTAGTATCATCCATATAGCATTACATGCAGTCCGTGACCATAGTTGAGCCCAAAATTTCTGTTGCTACGTGAGACATTTGTTAAGTGAGTTTTGTCCCCTTTCTTGCCACAGATCTTAAGTGAATCACTGCAGTTGTTAAGTTGGTAACACGGTTGTTAAGTGAACCTGGCTCCCCCATTGACTTTGCTTATCAGACTGTCGCAGAAGGGAATCACATGACCCCAGGGCAGTGCAACCGTCATAAATACGAGTCAATTGCCAAGCAGCCAAATTTTGATCACGTGACCAAGGGGATGCTGTAACACTCCTAAGTGTGAAAAATGGTCATAAGTCACTTTTTTTCAGAGCCATTGTAACTTCAAATGGACATTAAATGAACTGGTGTAAGTTGAGGACTATCTGTATAGTTTAGGGCCACCAGTATATTGTAAAGTGACCAGGGAAGAGCATAAAGGGATAATACAGATTTATAGTACATAAGTTCATAGGATGAGATAATTGGGTGTGGAATGGAAAAAAAATCAGGATGGAGACCCTGAGAGTAACTTGAGTTAATGCTGCTTGATGTATAAGAATGAAAAGTTGGGGAAAGGACATTTGCAATGGGATGCAGCAGGCAGATTTGCAGGAGAGGAGCTGGTTGGGGAATAATTTGTAAGATTGTTTGGCAGAAATCGGGGATTTTAAGGAGTGGCTGAAAGAGGGGGGCAGAAACCAGGCGTGGGAGGACTAGAGAGTAGCGAAGCAGGGGTATGGGGCTGGAAAAGTGATTTGGGGGTTTACAGTAAATAATGGGTGCCCTGGGAGAGCGAACAAAGGCCTTGGAAGCAGGTGAAAGATAGGAAATGTAATTTTGGGGGAGAAATCTTGGTGGTCTTGAGAGAGGTAACTTTAGAGAGGAAGGATGGAGGAGGAGGAGGCAGGGATAGAGAAAGTCTAGGTCAGTGGTTCTCAACCTTTCTAATGCCGCGACCCCATAATACAGTTCCCCATGTTGTGGTGACCCCCAACCACTTATACATCACCGGGTGCCAGGGGCGTGGCCAAAGAAAAGGGGGAAAATGGCGGACAGCCTTGTTTGGCGACCCCCGTGAAATGGTCGTTCGACCCCAAATGGGGTCCCGACCCACAGGTTGAGAACCACTGATCTAGTGGGAGATAGAGATTGTGTGCAAAGGGACTTATTCTGCAATTTTATGAGTTGAAAAGAGGACAGCTTTGTCACCAGGATGGAGGCAGAAGCGAGAAAATTGGTCAACTGCAATCAATATTGTTTGTGGGAAGGTAGACAGGAGACCCTTAGTAGCATGAAAGGGATATGGCATAGTTTGACATAATCCGGACATAATCCAGACCCTTCTCATCACTCTGACCCTCACTTATGAATTAACTTTGGGCTTTATTCTTCACCCTCCCTCCCCCCTCCAGAAAAATCCTTGGTTTAAATAGGATCTTTCACCAGACCCTCCCAAGGATGTTTCTCCCGCTTTATCTTTTGAGACTTTTTTTTAAAATTGAGAACACCTGCTTGTTCTTTCTTCACCCTCCCCCAGGGAATGTTATCATATCCCCCATACTAGAATTCAGATAGGATGTGTGTTTCAGCATATAAATTAGTTAAAATTAATTGTGTGAGAATTACGCTGCCACTTTTGCTTTCCAGTGGATGTCATCTTCGGTGACTCTTTAAACTTCCTATTTTTTTTTTTTTTAAAAATCTTGGTTGGAAGGGGAAGTAATTTTTAATCACTTTTCTGTTACAGCAATGCATCTATTTCAGAATGCTGTCAGTGGTACAGGAAATTGCACCCCGCTCTCGCAATTAAAAACTGTGTAAAAATTTAAAACCTACCCCCTTTTTTAACATGAGTCATTTGCTGTGCCCCTGGCATGTGATAGAGCCTGGATAAACGAAGGTTGTTTTCCCCTCTTCCCCTTCACATTGTGAAGCTGGGATTCACAATGTGTTCTTGATGATAAGGTACCAAAGGCTGCAATTTGTCCTAGATGGGTTAATTTGTGCCTATGTTGCCAGACTCCTGTCTGCATTCAGGAATGTCCTCATGATTCTCACCTCAAAGATTCATGACCAAATTTGAATTCACAGTCTTAAAGCCAGCATTGAATTTTGGATGATGGGGATGAGGCATGACTCTGAATATTTGGTCAAATTTGCAATCTCTGTCTGCCCCTGTAGGTTAGGCTTGATATCCTTAGTCATAGATTAAGAATACTAAACTGCAGAATACTAAGCCGTAATATAGTGTGTTTTGTTCTGGTTGGCTTCATTGTTTATTTTACATTTTTCTAATCCCGCCTCTATTATTTCTATAAATAACTCAAATTTGTTAGATCTGTATCTCAGTTTTGCACTCAAAAGGATCTCAGATTGGCATACATATTCCTCCTCTTGTTTTTCCCTACAGCCACGGACCGGTGAGGTAGACTGAAAGAGAATGATTGCTCCAGAGTCTTCCAGTAAGCTCTATAGTCAAGACTCAAGACTAATTAATAAAAAAATATTAACTAATACCTTTAACCCAGGAGTTTCTCATTGCTGAAACAGCGTTTCTGGCTGGGGAATTCTGGGAGTTGAAGTCCACAAGTCTTAAAGTTGCCAAGTTTGAAGACCCCCTGATGTAGACTAATTCCTTAACTATACTTCAAGTTTAGTCTGAAGTATGAACCCCAATGTTGATATTTTAAACGCCTGTAATGTTGTTGTAAATCAGGCATTATTGGGTGTGTGTGTGTGTCTGTAAATAAATATCAGGTAGATTTTAAAACACGTTTACCAACCGTCTTGACATAATTGCTGCATGGCGTTGTCTCCTATGTCTTTTTTCTTTCTTTCTGGGTTCTGTAAAGCTTGTAGCATATTTGTCTCATGTATATTTAATACAGCTGGGAGTGAAGTTTAAAGAGAATGATCCTTGATCGCTCTTGATGTGGATTCCAAGTAAAATACAAGACAATTAATGAGCTTCTTTTTCACACATGCAGGTTCTCCCCCAGCCCATGTATTGGTTAAAGCAGTCTTGCTATTGGCTTGGTCATAACCTGAAGAGCGGGGGTACTGGATGAGCCTGTTGGCGCGATATCTCTTAAACCCTTTGTGGCAGGTGCATTACTAGAAGGGATTTTAAAAATCTCATCAGTATGCAAAGGAATGTGAGCTGGGCTGAACTGTATTATTGTGGCTGGATTGTACCAGGGTTTTTAAGTGCCATGTGATAAAAATCCTCTCTCATCTTGGTACACGGCTTCTCCTTTACTAGCCTGTTCAGAGGGCAGAAGTCCCATCAGAAACGCAGTGGACTGGCAAAGGAGAAAAACAACAGTAATTCTGCCCACTCCACTTCTAGCTTGAAAAAAAAAATCAGGCTTTGGAGAGTAAAACGTCTTGCAAGCTATTCACTTGTGGGAAATAAGGCTTCCTTAGAAGGAAAGTCAGAGCTTGATTTGTCTAGTTTGCAACATAATAATAATAATAATAATAATAATAGTAGTAGTAGTAGTAGTAGTAGTAGTAGTAAAGTTGGAAGAGATCTTGAAGATCATCTAGTCCAACCCCCT